TTGAAATGCTCCTCTTTTTTAATTTGGACTTCTATGATTTTTTTATAAACGGGGAAAATCCATTATTAAGATTCTTGAAGTACATTTTTTATTTGAACTTCTTCCTCAATTTATTTTGAACTTTGAGATTTTTTAAATATCAACATCCTCGTAAGTTTTTGTAAACCTCTATTTTTTCATGCAATCTAGTACCACACTATTCTCTCCAAATGTTGCAGGTTTATCCGAAAACAAATGAGCTTGAACTAAAATTATATCTACTTTTTTATGCGTGCAACTATGATGTGTTTTTTTCTTAATTCCTTGTTTTTTGTGTGTTTGTTTAACAATTTTTTCTTCTAACGTGTTGTCTCTACTTCTCTTGCTAGCATGTGTGAACTTCAAGAATTATTTTAGTACATGCATACACTATTGTCTTTCTCCTTGCTATCTCTGTAAAAGTAATAGCAACAAAAATTAGAGAGATAGTAAAAGGCTCCGCCACCATATGATGGCAGGATGCTCTGGAACGGAAGAGCTTGTCGGAACGCGCGGCCAGCACAGCTCAGACAGAGGCCAAGCCAATGTTAGATCCGGGCACCCATCCTTTTTGAGAGTTGAATTGAATATAGTTGTGCAAATCATTGCTTCCTGAATCTTTTGTCAATGGTGTAGTACAAATCAAGTTCAGATATACATGAGACAAGAAGCTAAAGTCCACGTCCCACAGTGAACATTTGGTAACTAATGTAACAAACATGAAATCCGTGTTTCACTGTCCCATCATTCATCACGCCAGGAAACAATACATTTTCTCATGTTTTTAAAACTTCGTTCGTTTTCTCTTTTCTGAACTTCTAACACTGAAACTCTGAACGATTATGCCTCTTTTCGACTGAATTTTGGCGAAAATTCACAGCTGAAAGCGATGAGGACGAGCTAAGGGATTTGGTTGATTTTGTCGAGTGCGATAGAGGTGGAAAATCTTGAAATCTTGACGCCTCGTCGGAGGGTGCTTGTAGCCGGGCGGGGGAAAGGGGGCTGCTTGGCAGCAGGGGCCACATGGTAGCTCTGCACGCACGAACACACCGCAAACAGAGCGCACCAATGCTTGCTCGCACACACAGCCGAGGTTGGTCGAGCTCAAGGTCCGGTGGTTCATGCGGAGAGGATGGAGCAGAAGGGCAGCGGAGCTCGTGGGAGCCAGCGGCGGGGCCCAGGACGGCCAGCCGACATGGGAGCAACTCTGCCTACGCGAGCAAGAGGAGGAGCATCGACCACAAATTGCTAGCGTCTGAGGTGACGGACTGGTCGTCCCCGAGGTGACGGACTACTCGTGCGGAGGTTCATGGTTGGGCTGCGTGTCCAGGTGGTGGGAGGCGACGACTGTGGTGTTCATTGAGGCGGCTGCATCCCACATCGCCGGCTTCGAACTTGTCGGGAGGCACGAGATCTAGGGGCGGCTGGGTTGGTGGTTCCAGGAGCGGGGTGGGGCAGCGCGTGGATCCGGGAGGGCCTCGTGTCGCCGGGGCGGAGGTATATCACCGGGATCGTGTCAGATCCGATCGGGTCGTCGGAGTGGCGACTCGCCGGGATGCAGGTGGTGATGTGGGTCGGCAGAGGCGGCGGTGTGGGTACGGAGGGGCGACAGTGTGGGTTGGGAGTAGCGGCGCCGGTGGGAAGCAGGCGGCCATCCGGGTGGAGGCGGGCCGGCGCCGGCCGGGGTGGGTTGGGAGGGGCGCGTGGGAGAGGGAGGTGGGATGGATCCAGAGACGTGGGGAGGTGGAGGTTCGGTGCGGGAGAATGTGGAGGAGGTTTCTTTTTCTTTTCTACGATTCGGGAATTCGGCAGGACCTGCGTGCGCCCTTATAGGGTCAATCGTGATTAGAATAACTATTTTGATCCCAGGATCAAAATAGTACCGGAGATGCCGGAGATGGCCAAAAGAAATAATTGACAAATGAATATATATCAGAATGGAAGTTTTTTGAAGGAAACACGGGATAGTGTTTTCTTTAATCTTTTGGCAACATGAGTCCATTCAATCCCACTAAACTTCATCTAGCCATCGTAACTTGGTTGGATAGCTTATATTTTTCATATTTTCTCTAGTTAATATGAGCATTTCTTGGGAGCCTACGATTTGTATAGTAATAGATGATGACATGGAAGGACATATTATAACTAACAATAGTTGATAATAATGAGTTGGAAGTAAATATGAAGATGTAGGATGTGGCTACTAGTCCAAGATAATAGGGTGGAGGTGCCAAAGAACATGTTCGGTTATTGATGAGTAATGCCAAAAACGGCTTATTTTGACCAAGGAAGGAGGCATGACCAATCATTCTTTATGCCCTTGTCATTTTCGCCGATTTGGTAAATTTTCCATGTGCACTATTTCAGAAGATGCATCATGCGTACTATTAAGTAAATACTAGATATTAATTAATAAAGAGATTCATATGTTTAATTTTCTCTGTTATTGAACTATATAATCATTGTGGCCCACCGTGCTACATTCATAAGTTACTTCGGTAAAATACTGTTGCTACACGGCTAGGTGACTACTACGGAAGTTTAGCGTTGGGAGCTACTCAGTGGTGTTTACTAAATTTCTTTTGCTCTCATGGTTGCAATGTGATCGTTGATGGGTAGGATATCATTTTAATGGACCCGCCCTTAAGCCATCATTTTCCCCTCCATTCAGTGTCCATCAAACTCTATCGAGCATTGGAATCTCATACTAGTTCACATGCGCGGAAAAATATCCCCTGCCCCCTTTCATATTCACGTGTGACTGCCTTCTCCCTCTATCGACCATGCTTTGTCAAATGGTCACATTCCCTCTCCCTATGCCTCTCTCATTTGCATCCTTCCATCTAGTGTCCATGTGTCTCCTCATGCTTTTATACACCTCCTCTGTCCTAGTGCTTGGCTATGCTTCAATGTGGGAGGGCATCGGCGAGGAAGTCTATTCTAATGGGCAAGAAGCTTACAAAACCCGATGATGACATTATGGCTCTTGGAATTCTCATAGACCAACCATGACCTAGTATGCTACTAGTATGGATGATTGAGATTTGTATCTACATAGGTTTAAATATTTTAGATCTCTAGTAAAATGTAATTACATTGTTCCATTGTTCTTGCTCCTATTTCGTAGTAGTATCATTTTTGCTAGAAGGTTTTTTGCAAGAACTCATTATATATCCTCTTGCACGTGCAAGATGGGTAGCTGGTGTTACCATATGTTGATCTTCTTATTTTATGAGGAACAAGCTGTTACGTAGGAAATAATTGTTACTTTTTCATGGTTATAAACTATGAGTACATCCATTTTTAATAATAGATAGTGTTTATTCTTGTGTAGGTTTTTGGCATGACAACACATATCACAAGTGTAAAATTGACAATGACAAATTTGTTATATGTGTGAATAAATGCAAATATGTTGGTAAATCAAGTAATTTTTTTACACTCGTAATGATGGAACTTTGACCTTTCGATAATTTTCCCCTTGGGAAAACATATATTGCTCTTCTTAAAGAGTAACCACTTATGTCTTACAAAAATTAAAAGCTTTCTACTGTCAATCGACAAAACGCCTACTAGATCGACTTAAACCCTTATAAAATGTAACCGGTTCACCGGAGGATTACACACCCTTTCGCCTTTCCACTTGAAAACATATCCAATCATTTTGTTGATACCAAGACTTCAGTGCAGGTCTCAAGCAATGTGCAAAACTATTTCGATGAGATTTAGAGTAACCTCGTTGCAAAGAGTTGGTGTGCTAGCCTTGACAAGTTGGAGAATTTAAAATATGATGCCCATATCTTGACTTGACAAATTATATGAAAGCCTCCTTCTCAGAGAATGCAAAGAACTCTCCAACTTCGGAAACACAAGAAACATAGGTTCAGTTAGGAGATGCATCCTAACATGATTTTAAATGGCTCCCCTGATTCTCTTTGAAGAATATGTGTTGGCACACATGGTCTATTTACAACTAGTATAGTAGTCAGAAGTAAAACCATCACAGGACTGTGTCTGAGAACCCCCTTCAAAGCCCTATTCTATATTAGTGATAGCAACAGCGCCTTCAAAGCCCTCTGAATAGTGACCATATCTAGAAAATAACACAATAATTTAATGTGCATATCATGTAGATTACCTTGAAATTATTTGGAGAGAGATAGAGGGCGCTGCAACATCATGGTGTCAATTTTTTGAATTCATGGGTTATTAAATGCATATGTAGATATGTATATATTTTAGTGGAGCATGTATTAGTTGGTTTCAAAGGACCCATTGCATATCAATGGAATTTCATGTGTTGTATGCGAGATAAGTGATCACCAACATTAATAGAAAAGATATGCTTACATTCACTGGTAATGAGTGGATCATATGTGTGGCATAGTTACTCAGTGGAGGATATTAATAAATTATTTGCAAATACATACACAACAAAATGTCGTTGACATGTGTATGTACATAAAAATCGACATTGATATATGGGCCACCGATGACCAAACCGGATGAAAATCTTGTGTGCTATACCTATGTGCGGGCGGCGAATACCATGGTTTCAGGCTTACACTGCGATGAGAGGAGCACATATGTCACGCATGCACAACACAGGTGTCTTCTCTCTGGCAAGATTGAGATTTATCAACACTCAACAGGCCTGCGTGTGTTGTCTCTAGCAGTCTTCCTATCTACAATTGCATGTCGCCAAACCGAAAAAATCTTAAATAAATGATAAAATCTTGAGTTCAACTTCACATGTGTCGGTGTCTTCCAATGAGATTCATAAGCAGTTTATTAGTTTTAGTTAAATCTCTATTTTTGTGGCCCGACAATCTACCAATGCATCAAATTAATTAGTGAAAGTAGGTTCCATACCTGGAAGGACTATAAATACACTATCCTAGTCCTCTCTCCGTCCCCATTCTCTAAGCATTCTTCATAGTTCATACTACCCACAAGTCTGTAGTTTTGACCTATCTAGTCTCATGGATCCATTGGTCAACCAAGGGTGGACCTCATCAGAGGAAGAGGAGGCAAGGTCACTCATTGTTGGGCACAACAGCCACACAATCGTGTATGATGACAAGAACAAGAGGCACAACAACATCGTGGATGCTCTCCATGAATTATTCCCTTCAAAGACAAGGCAGCAGGTAACAGATCTTTATGTCAATCTCGCCGTGGAATCGTATATGATGCATTCGAGGGAGGAGAGACATGTTGTTGGTGGCAACACACATAGTGTTGGCCCCATTAACCTAGTGAACAATAACTTTGGGGTGTCGGGTCAGGAGATTGGTGCTAGCAACATATGTGGCATCAATACCATGGGTGACCATGTGATTGACGGCTATGCGGTACGAGAGGAGGAGGAAGCAGCAACCATGAATGATAATGAATTGATATTTGGTCATGCATTGGAGGATACGAGGATCACCGAGACGAAGGAAGCACCATTGATGGTAGACAAGAACAAGATGCAGATTTTGGAGAACAATATTACTAGTGATCAACTAGTTGTTCCCCCACGCCAAGGGAGGTTTTGGACCATCGACGAACACAAGTAATCAATGTCTACTCTGACTTTTGTCATGTAGTTTAGATTGTTCTTTATATTAAATCACCATATACTAATTAATCATGTTGTGCAGATTTAATATATGTGAGAGTTAGGTTAAGTTTGTGATGATATATCTCTACACCTCCCATACAAGTTTTAGACTGACAAACTTACATCCCTTACATTTATTTGTGAGTTGTCAAATATAATGATTTGAAATTAGGTAACATAAATGTAATAAATAAGGCCAGAAAACTCCAATATGGCATTACTTGCCCCTATTCAAAAGATTGATAACATGTAGAACCATACAAAATTGCTAAGATAGTGTTTAGTTGTAGTTTGATATGGTCATCTATGTTCCAAAATGTTCATTCATCTAAGGATTTCTGATAAGCATGTGTGTTGTTGAAATGGTTAGAAACATATATCTACGTAAGTCGGGATATTTTGTGTCTCTAAATTTATTGGTTGCTTCAATAAAACAACTCAATCGACCATTCATCTTTGCATTCCACAACTTAGTCTAACAAATTCTAATGAACCTTGTTTTTGTAGGTTGTTTCTCCGTGGGCTAGGTGTCTACGGTCGTGGTGACTGGAAAAACATATCCAAGCACTTTGTCACTACTAAAACTCATGTTCAAGTCTCAAGCCATGCACAAAAGTACTTTAGGAGGCTACATAAAAGAGCCTCGTTTGGGACGCAACGTTATAGCATCAACGATGTTAGGCTACATGATGAGGACCCATGGTCGATGAATAATAGTTCTGGTCCCTTGCAAATGCTTGGTTCTACCGGTCTCAACAATGAAACAAGCTTCGGGTTGCAGGCTCCGATAAGCTCATCCATAGTCATGAACAACCAGCCTCAGTTATGGCCACCTTTCATATATAGTCACCAAATAAATCAGCAGCCAGTGTGGAGTGAGCATCATATGTTGGGGTCAACTGGAGTTGTAACGGATGGCATAGGAAATTCTGCTCCTCCATGTCAACAAGGATCGACTTGTTTTCCTCTTGGCAATGTATGAATAAGATGTAGTAGATCATAGGTTTGGGAAATGTTTGTGAAGCTATAGCATTAAGGTAAGCATATAAACGAATTTCCTTCCAAAAGATGGTAACATAATATGCTGAAGATAGTATGGCTAAAGTTCCTGTTTGGAAAGTCAATAATTTAATGTTTGTAAGAAACAATGTATTTCACCTTATATGTGTCGTTATCTTAATATAGTGTTTGTTTCATGTCCCTGATTTCATAAAAATACAATTATTTTCAATTACCACACTTAAGTTGGCGTATATGTTGTCTCTATATGTTTCCTTGAGTAATATATCATACAGGATTGTTGCCTTCATTACAAAATTGTATTCACCCAATGACAAAACACAAGAATCTTTGAAATGATGCTCAATATTTATTGACTATATAAAATAAGATACAATTGCAAAAATACTTGAAAAACCTATCATCTACTCAATAGTCCAAATCCTATAAACTTCCACTACATTATCTTAATCATGCATGTTGGCTTTTCCTTTTTATAGTCAAAGCACCGCCACTATTTAGTGTGTTATTGCTTTAAAATACTTTAGGTACAATATAATTGAGGATTCACTATACATAGTTCCCAAATAGCTATAATGCCTTGCCTGCTCCTCATTGTATATCCCAGTTGTCTCGTAGTATTGCCTTTGTTTGTCTGATAGCGGAGAATGGAGACATCATGGGCAATGACCAGCACTCACTGGTATTCATTTTGTCATGCTCATAGGACCTAGGGTTGGAATGACGTATGCATAGGAGAATATATATGTGAGATGGCGGAGATGGCAAAAGAAACAATAGGTGAACATATACTGGCATGGAAGTCTTTTGAAGGAAACACGGGGTAGTGTTTTATTATTCTTTCGGTGACATGAGTTGATTCAATCCTACTGAAGTTCATTTGGGCCATTGTAACTTGGTTGATAGCTCATATTTCATATTTTTCTCTGGTTAACATGAGCATTTCTTGGGAGTGTCGTTCATATGATAATAGATGATAAAATGGAAGGACATACTAGAAATAACTATAGTTGATAATAATGAGTTGGGGCAAAGATGAAGATGTGGGAGGTTCAGACTAGTCCAAGATAATGAGGTGGAAGTGCCAATGAACCTGTTCTATTATCGATGAGTAATGCCAAAAAGCGGTTGCTTTTCACCATAGAAGGATACATGCCCGATCATTGACGGAGCGAGATCTCGTCAGTTCCCTCGGTAGGGGTCCAAGTGCAGCTGAAAGTCATGGATCGGAGGTCACACGAGGGTTTTTCCAGGTTCGGGCCTTCAGAGAGTAATACCCTACATCCTGCTGGTTTTGATGATTCATAGTGGAGGGATACCTCGTGCGAGGGGTTACAATGTTGTATGAAATTGCTACCAAGAGTTTGTCTATATGTGGATAGATGATTGATGGGTACCCTAGACCTTCCTTTATATAGGCAGGAGAGGTCTATGGTTTTACAAGGTAGATGCGATCGAGGGTGTTGCCGCCCTCCTTTCTTGGACATCACAAAGGTCACCCTCTCCCTCTAGGGTTTGCTCCGCACGCTGGGTCTTGGATGAGGTCGTGCTCCTGGGCATTGGCCACCCCCTGTATTGGACACCATCTATCATTTGTTATGTCCTTGTCATTTTCCTCGATTAGGTAAAAAATCCTTGCACTATTTCATGAGATGCATGGTGTGCACTATTAAGGAAGTGCTCGGGTATGAATTAATAAAGAGATTCAAAAGTTTAATTTTCTTTGTTATTGAACTATATAGTCATTGTGGCCCACCTTATCTACATACGGAAGAGGTTGCTTTTGACCAAGGAAGGAGACATGCTCGATCATTCTTTATGCCCTTGTCATTTTCCCAATTAGGTATTTGTTTTCATGTGCACTGTTTCAGGAGATGCATGGTGTGTATTATTAAGCAACTCCTCGGATATGAATTAATAGAGAGATTCATATGTTTAACTTTCCTTGTTACTGAACTATATAATCATTGTGGCCCAACGTTATCTACATACAGAAGTTACTTTGGTTAAGAAGTGTCGCTACACTACTCAGTGTCTACTAGGGAACTTGAGCGATGGGAGCTGCTTGGTCGTGTTTACTGCATAGCTTTGCTCTCATGGGTGCAATATTTATCGTTGATGGGTTAGATATCATTTTAATGGCCCCACCCTACAGCCATGCTATTTTGCCCTCCTTTCAGTGTGGATCGAACTCTATCGAGCATTAGAGAAACCTCATACTAGTTCACGTGCGAGAGGGGGGGGGGGGGTCCTATGCCACCTTTGATATTCACGACATACCGCCTCATATCGAGCATGCTTTGTCAAATAGCCTCATCCCCTCTCCATATGCCTCTCTCATTTGCACCCTTCCAACTAATGGCCATGGTCGCCTCCTACTTTTATACACCTCCTCCGTCCAATTGCCTGGCCTATGCTTCAATGCGGGAGGGCGCTAGCGGGGATTTCTATTCTAATGGGCAAGAAGCTTACAAAAACCGGTGATGATATGGTGGCACTTGGAATTTTCATAGACCAACCGTGACCCAGTATGCTACATAGGTTTAAATATTTTAGTTCTCTAATAAAATGCAGTTACATTACTCCATTTTTCTTGCTCCAATTTAATTCTAGTATCATTTTGCTAGAACTTTTTTGGCAAGAACTCATTATATATCCCCTAGCACGCGCAAGATGGATAACTGGTGTTAGCATATGTTGATCTTCTTATTTCTCGAGGAACAAATTGTTATGTAGGAAATAATTGTTACCTTTTCATGGTTATAACTTATAAGTACAACCATTTTTTATTACCAGGCAATGTTTATTCTTGTGTAGGTTTTGATCATGACAAAACATATCACGAGTGCAAAATTGCAATGATAAATTTGATTTATGTGTGATTAAATGGAAATGTGTTGGTAAATCTACTAGAATTGTGTACACTCGTAATGATGGAACTTCAACCTTTCGATAAATTTACCCTTGGGAAAACATATATACCTCTTCTTAAAGAGGAACCACTTATGTCTTACAAAAATTAACCAGTTGCTCTTGTCAATCAACGTAGTGCAAACATAACCAGTTTGTTAGAGGGATTACACACCTTTCGGCTTGTCCGCTAGAAAAACATATCCAAGAACTTTGTCACCACCAAGTGTCCAGTACAGGTCTCAAAAGCCAAGAGCGGAAGTATTACGACGAGGTTTAGAGTGACCTCATTGCCAAGAGCTGGTGTGCCAGCCTTGATAAGTTGAAGAATTTAAAATATGATTCACATCTCTTGACTTGACAAACTATATGAAAGCCTCCTGCTAAGTGAATGCAAAGAACTCCACAAGTTTAAACACACAAGGAATATAGGTTCAATTAGGAGATGCATACTAACATGTAAACGGCTCCCCTGATTCTCCTTACAGAAGATGGGTTGGCACACATGGTCTATGTACATCGACTGTTGTATACAGTCGGAAAGTAAAACCATCGCAGGACTATTCTATACTAGTGATAGCAACAATTTTTTAGTATTTTTAAATAACTTTGAGCATGCCCTCCATTTTTTTCCCTAGATTCGCCAATGCTATGAACCTATTGTGGTTGATGAGTCCTCAAGGGCAGTGTGCTGTACAGTAAACGTCATTGCCGCAAGGAAAAAGTCACAACAGAAGATTCTAGGAAAACGTTTAGGCGCGGTGCGCCGGCTGAACGCTCGGGTCGGTCACTTCGCCATGCTGGCGCTAGCCACTAGGAAGGGAACACGTGTACCTTATCTTCTCCCCAACGCCCGCATCCACTTCTTCTTCCTCGCGCCCGTGACCTCGCTTTCCCTATCTGTTTCCGTCTCGCCTCCTCCGACATAGCACCAGGCAGCACCGAGCACTCCCCCCTTCGCACCTCACGCTGCACCTCCTCCATGGGGGTGCTGCTCCCATCCGCCATGGCTTGCGAGCTCAAGGTCAGGGCGGCCATGGCTTACGAGCTCGGGGCGGACTGCGACGGGGGCTCCTACGAGCTGTTATGGGCGCCATGGCTTATGAGCTCGGGGGCAGACGAGGACGGGGGAGACTGCGAGCTGCTATGGGCGATGCCGTTGAGCATTTGCTACTGGAAGAAGCTCATCGAAGCTGCGAGCATCAAGCGACACCTCCCATGTTACAACTGGTGTTCAAGGAAGCTACCACAGGCGCCGCAAAAAGCTTCAACCGGTGACGCCAAATGCTGGGACCGCTCAGTGCCATCGCAAAAAGCTACAACCGGCGTCGCAAAAATTTTCGACCTGCATCGCAAAAAGCTTCAACCACGACGACATATGTCAGGGCTGGCTACTGTCAGTACCAAAAAAGCTGCAACCGTTCTCGCTTTTGCTACTACCGGTATCATTGTTTGCTACATACTTCACGGCTTAGCTGCGACGTGCAACGACGGCGGCGATCAACAAGATGTATGTTTTTGCTGGAACGAAGACTATGTGTGCTACAACCGGCTTTGGCAGAGTTACCACGGGTGAATTTTTTTGCTACAACCATGTACGGATTATGTGTGACCTCGGTGGGGAGCTGCAACAGTTGATGTTTTTTGCTACTATCGACATCCTTGTTTGCTACATGCTTCACGACTTAGCTGTGACATTCCACGATGGCGGCGACGTTTTTGCTACAACCGCCGCTGGATTTTGCTTCATCCGTTCGTGGATTAGCTGCAACCCGCAACGGCGATTCGCTGCAACTGTGCTTCTGTTTTGCTACCACCGGCAAAGATTTTTGCTACATCCATGCATATTTGCTACGACGGCGCTTCAAACACGGTGATGAGCAAATCTTCTTGCTGGAGACGACGAAGGCCGGTTCCAGCAAAATGCGAGTACGGTTCCAGCAAATCTTCTTGCTGGTTCCAACATTCCTCGACCATTTTTTTGCTGGAGAGAACAGGAGGCCATGTTTTTGCTGGAACCGGTGATATGGTCGCCACCGGAGCACGGCCGTCGTGCCCTGGAGTTGCGAGTGTCGCCACCGAAGCTGCAAGCCTGCAACCACGGGCACACGCTGATGCATCCACGGAGGCGAGAAAACGCATGAGGTGATCGACCCCGGTGAGGGCGGTGGGCGGCGGCGATGAGTAGGATGCCGGTGAGGGCGGCGGGGACGAGCAGGACGCCGGTGAGGGCGGGCGGCAGGCGGCATAGTGCTGCGACCGCCCAATCGAGGACATGCACAAGATGCGGGACCAGCAAGAGGAAGGAGAAGCTCGGGGCAAACCGTTTTTCTGCCAAATCCAATGGCCCACCTGGATCGCATCCGACGGATCACGCTCGACCGGCCGAAACCGCTGGGCCGGTGCGTATTAGTCGCCAAGATTCTAACGTCGGAGACCCCAACATGAATAACTGTCTATACTATCCAAAGTACTCCCTTCGTTTCTAAATAAGCCCTTTTAGAGATTTTCAACATATTTTAGAGTGTAGATTCATTCATTTTCTATATTGAAATACAGATGTATAGACATATTATAGAGTGTAGATTCTTCATTTTCCATATTGAAATCTCTATGAAGGGAGTATAACCACAGTTTATGGCTACAGGGCAGAAGTCAGCCAAGAGGAGTCCTGTAATTGCCAAGTACATTCTTTCTAGCAGTCTGTGGCTCACCAATGCAGCATCAATTAATATGAATCAGGAGTATCTAATTAGCCCAAAATTCGATGGTTGATTGCATCTGGCAATGTCTGATTGTTTACTTGCTATGTGATTTTTCTGGGAAGCATTTTGCATAACAAAGCAAACACAAACACATAGCACATCCAAGTGGCATTCAGATTTCACGACATCGCAAATTCGCAATACGCCCATGCATAACGACCAGTAGCACAGATCAACAGGGTAGAAAACCCCCTCAGGTAGAACAGGCTAAAAAACGACAGATAAGTTTGTCGCATCACCAAAGTTGGGCATTACAAGTTCTGTCTGTCCAAAGCTTTGTTCGCTGGACCAAGAGCTGATAGTACCGAAATGCTAGCATCCTAACGCACCCGCGAATCCCAAATCAGGGCTTGAGTGACAGGGCCAGCCCGAACTTGGGGCTCTTCTCAATGGCCTTGGTGTCAACCTCGGTGGAGAAGGTGATGAGAGACTTGGGCCTCCACGCGTGCTGGATGAGCGCACTTGCGACGCCGAAGTTGTTGTAACGCCCCTTCACAGTGGTCAGGGGGTCCAGCTCGTGCTGCGTCCCAATGGTGATGGTGTTCTCGTTGCTTGAGAAGCTGTGAGCGATCTCTGCTCCCACAGCAGTGGTGCGCTGCACCTGGTGGTAGTAGGAAGCAGCCAGGGTGTTTACCTTGTTGTTCCTGAAATTGATAATTAAACACCATAAGTACCACATTTATGAATACTCTATAGGCCAAATTAGTGTTACATCATGCAGAAGATGCACAGACAAAAACGAGAGCTCTTTGACCCTACTTCAGCACTAAAATAATCGGAATCAGAAGCTAACAGGAAAGATTGCTAAGGGCAATTGGGAATTGTAGAATGTAAACAACATGCTAAGACCAGAAATCAAATAATTACACAATACAGCAAAGCACTGGAAGAAACAACTTACAGATTCAACGAAGCAGTAAGATCTTGGTTAGTGTGGCTCAGTCCAGCATTGTACTTGGTGAAGTCACCAGAGGCAGTGTCAAATGCAACATCAACACCAAAAGCAAAAGCCTTAGTCCCAATGACACCAGAAAAGTTAACAAGAGGGTTTGAATTCAGGCCAACACTGCCGTTGATGCCAAGATGGGGATGCAAGTACTGGAGTTCAGCCTGAAACCACAAGAATTCAGATTAACTTCTAAATATCTATCAAGCTACAAAAATGATAATTGGTAATATTCCTAGATGGACACTAAGACGAGATCAGAAAGATAGTTCAACACTCAAGATACAAAAGTAAAGGTGATAATACCTTCCCAGGAGTAGACTTCTGGTAGGGGAAAGGAAGAGAAAGAACTCCCTTCAAGCCTGGTGTGTACAGCTCAGGAACAGTGATTGTAGTTACAACCTGGTAAAGGGGAAAAACTAGTATAACTGGTACAGAAACTGGGGCCTCCAATATCAGGAGAAGCAAACATCAATGAAAGACAAGTATTAGGCAAGTAACAAGCACAAAGGGAGAAGAAAAGAACTTACACTTGAGTCCGAAGTTGCTTTCACATCCACTGTGAAATTCTTGATCTTCACCTGGGTCTGGAGGTCAGCCAAGATAGCTTCATTTTTCTTTGTGCTTGAACTAGTAATTGTCTAGGAAGATGAAAACAAGAGTTAGTGCAACACTAAACATTGACAAAGAAATGTTGTGTTTGCAGCCATAATTAGCGAGAAAACAAAAATGGCCCTAACTTAGCACACCATCGCAACAATACAGTACGTACATTTCTTTATTCAAGAGGGTGATTCAGAAAATAATAAAATACAATAACATAATTAATTCTCTAAATTAGATCATGCTAGGTGTAGCACCACGAAAACATAACTGAAACCATCTTAATTCAGTCCCCATCAGGATATTATAATCGTTAAACAGCATAGTCAGTGACCCTTAATCAAACACACCAGAGCGGTAGAACCATTAACACAGACCATTTTAATCTATAAATAAAATTGGAAAGGTACATTCTAGGCATGCATCAGGTAACCAGAATAAATTCACTGAATACTGGTTGGTAAAATTCAACAAGTATACGGCTTCTAGTCCAAGCAAATAAAATTGTACTCCCTCCGTAAAGAAATATAAGAGCTTTTAGATCACTAGGGAGTACAGAGCAATAGATATACTATGTAAACTCAAGACCAAGTTATTGCTGAATGAATTAAGTCGCTAGCGAACACATTCAGCTTGTTTAAAAAAAAAATCCAGAGTGTATCACGCCCGGAATGAAATGCCATTAGAAAATTAAATACAACAGGATGTCACAAGAGATTTTTACAGCCAGGGCAAACTTCATCAGATATACAGAAACTGAAGTTACATGCAAATCCAAAAAAAAAACTTCCTAAATAGCCATGCGTCTACTACAACAAACATGTCACTAGTTCATTTGAGCAAACGCACAGGGTTCAAAACCAACTGACATTGGTAATACCAACTAGGCAACGATGAAACAGAATTAATCTGCTACATGCAAACTTAAACTGGAGATTCACCAAAACTGCAGTCATCAATCCAAACGCTGCAAGCATAGTGTCAGCTAGGATAACTTGTAAGCATCGGACAAGTTACAGTCCACTCTAACACCAAAACCTTGAGTGGGACCTCCCTCTTACAGCCATGATTCAGAAGGGCTGCTACACACTAAACCCAAAAAACCCACGCAATAACAACACGTAAACCGGTATATGAGATACCAATCGCACCACATGTCAACACGGATCTTCAACAGGGGACTAGCAGGGCAACCACGGACAGTCGCCAACATGAATCGGGCCTCGGCAAGCAAAACCAGACCATTCCCGAGTCCACCCTAAACCCTAATCCACTATCCGCCTAAACGCCGCCGCAACCAAAGCAAGCAGCATCTACTCGAAGGAATATGAGCAACAGGACAAGCTGTAGCATAGGACTGAGAACGAACAGAAGGGGGGCACTCACGGCTCCGTTGGCGGCGGTGGTGGTGAAGGTGAACTTCTGGCCGGTGGTGTAGTCCCTGTTGAGGAGATCTGCAGATCCCGCCCGAGGAGAAACGAGCGTCAGCAAATCAAACAATCACCGAAGCTACTGAATCCAAGCCCCAGCGGGGAAGAGAAGGGGCGCCGACCTCTGGCCTTCTTGCCGATGTCGGCGTAGAGCCCCGGGCCGGCGGGGCGGGCGGGGGCTGGGGTGGGCTTGGCGGCGTCCATGGCGAGCGAGCGGCGGCGGACGGCGGCGAGGAGAGGAATGCGATTTGGGGGGGGCGGAGACCGTGAGGGAGGGAGGGGTGAT